GTAAAACTGTCTTTTGTTCCAATGCTTAGACTGATTCAGCCACTTCCTCTGATCCACTCAAAGTCTTGAGCTGGCTCCGAAAAGATCTGGAAAAATGTGCAATTGGAGTCCAGAATGTGTTGAACAGCAGTAACAATGCTGGTGGTGCAAGATCACGAGAGCCGTCTGTTGGAAGGCAAAGCACCCAGCAGCGCAATGCGTCTTCCCCAGGTGGTTACAGCATCTGTGATGAAGAGTTCAGTATGAATGTCAGCTCTTCCAACAGAGGCTCTCCCAACTTCCACTTGGCCATGAAAACCGCCTGTCAAAAAGGACCCAAAGATGAAGAAAGCGATGGTTCCACCTCGCCAAATGCAAATACGGACTCAGATGAAGTTTCTTTCTACTGCAATAGACTTTCTAACCTTGCCATAGCAATGGCACGCAAAGAGATGAATGACCGGTCAGATGGCAATGCCACGTGCATACATAAGACACTTTATGCTGCTGCCGGGGACCATGGCCACAGGTCTGTTGGGGTGGGTACAGATGACTGTAAGCACAATCCATCTAAGATGTGCGACTGCAAATATGAAGAAAGTCCCAATTCTAAGAAGAAAGCCACATTTTATTACAAAGAAGAAGGTGGTACAGAAATACCTAACAAAAGTGAACCTTGTAGAGATGAAGCCAAAGCTTGCAACCATAGGAAACGCTTTGGTCCAGATGAATATACCAACTCACTGAGCAAAGGAATCTTAGTCTACGCAAACAATGTGGTTTCAGATATGATGGTCTCTGTCATGAAAACCATGAAAGTTAAAGTGAATGATTCCAACATAGCTTGTGCAGTGTTGAAAAAGGTACTGCTGAAGCATTCCAAGGAGGTGGTGTCTGACTTGATAGACTCCTGCATGAAAAACCTACATGATGTCACTGGAACACTCATGACCGACTCTGACTTTGTTTCAGCAGTGAAACGGAGCCTCTTCACTCAAGGAAGCCAAAAGGCCTCTGAAATTGTCCAGGCCATGCTGAACCGGTTACATAATGCTTTGATTGTACAGAAACAGGTGAGTGAGAAGGCAAAATCTCAGAGAATGGCCTTTGCCTCTGTCAATACAGGTTCAGGAACCGATGCAAAAACACAGAACATGAGATTTGCTGCTGCAAAAACAGAAACGGTGAAAGAAAAGGAAATGACCTGTGCAGAAACAGTTGGCAATCATATCATAAAGGAGGGCCTCTCTATGTGGCACCAAAAACAACAGAATGAGAATGCAGGATCAAATCCTCAGGCAAAAGCAATCTGTAATCCCGAAAACCCAGACCTTTCAACTGACTCCTGGGCAAGAGACCTGATTGTAACCGCATTACTGCTGATCCAGTACCATCTAGTCCAGCAGGAGAATGCACTGAAGGATGCAGCGGATGGTGGCAGGTCTGGCAAAATTTCTGGCACCACATTTGGTTTGATGTCTCAGGAAAAAAGTGGCAATGCTTCTACTCTCCCTTCATCAAAACCATATGACACACTGAAATCTAGTGACGAGGAACCTTCTGAGCCTAATGCTGATAATGACATGTCAAGTGTTGTAGTGATGCTTATCCAAAAGCTCATCAATGAGACAGTCAATAAATTAGGAGGAAATGTTGGGACAGTGATGTCTGATGAAGCATATAAAAGTCCTTACAAAACTCCAGAAGGGCCAGGGCCTTCAGCCCTTTCAGAAGGGGATCATTCTTATGAGGATGCCATATCTGGACTGACCAAAATGATTCTGGATCAGTTTGATGTCAACAGGAAGGAAGGAGGCAGTGGGCCATTCATTGACAACCTAGTGGATACAGTGACCAAGTTGTGCCTCATGATAGCCAAATACAGCAATCCCGAGTCAGGTCTTGGAGATATTGGAGACGGAGAAGATGCTGGTGGAGCTATGTATTCAAAGGACATGGAAAGTGCAGAAAGTCGAATAGGGTCAGGTGAATCTGGCCGCAAAGTGGTTGTGACCAATCAGAATGTTCCTGAGAACATTCACAACAAACAACTCCAAGCTATCCTTCAGTGGGTGGCAGCCTCTCAGCTAAATGTCCCTGTGTTGTACTTCATGGATGATGATGAAGAAAACCTGAATAAGGTAAACAATGAGATGTTTGAGAAAATGAAGGGTGGGAATTGAATGGGACAGCATTTTAAGTTCTGTAAACATTTTTAAGAAGGCTTGACTTCTGTCCTTTTGTATTTCCTTGATAGTTTTTAATAATTATTCATGGCTTAAATTTGAATGTTTTGGCTTGGGGATGGCCTTTTCCCCTTCTTGTTCATTCATTACATTTTGTG